CAGTTCCCTCAGCCGCTCTTCACAGGGCATACAATTCTGTGATTCCTTGCGAAGGGGCCTGGGGTGTGCCCGGTGGTGGGTTTGATGGTGGGCAGCGTGTGGAGCCCTCGGGGATTCATCCTCAGCAGATTCCTGAGGGATCAAAGGTGAGGAGTTTGTTGAGGGGGCTCCCAGGGCGTGGGTGCGGTTGTGCTGGGCCCTTCCTTCTGGAGGGGCTTCAGGCCTGGTCACCACCTCCAAGACCGTCACTCCCAGCGCTATTGGGGTTTGGGTCCAGGCACGGGAGATGCTTTCAGACCTGCAGCTGTAGACCTGTGGCTGCTCGTTTGGAAGAAGCTTGAAGGCACGTGTGCCACTGGCCCTGGGAACGCTCGCCCTCCAACTGGGAACAAACGGACACACGAGTGTCAGGTGTTTGACAGTTCACGAGTGGCCTCTTGTCTGGGTGTTTTTCCAAGATTTTGTTGCTGGTATCATAGATCACGTGTTTTCCCCTGCTTCTCTTAAAAATGACAGGAGGTATCAGGGTGATCTGATTTTAGTCAAGGAGGCTAAAGCTAAATTCCAGCTACACGCCCCATTGTTGAGTTAAAAAAACCCAAACAATAGTCCAAAAACACTTAGAATGGGGAATGTGCACTGTGCAGCTGAGATAAGTCATATATTAACCAGCCTTCTTGATGAAAACCTAAAACCCTGATGTGGGGGAGTTTCTCCAAAGAAAGAACCATTGTTTGAGGAGATTTCTGCTAGCTGGGGCACAAAGGGTTAAGAGATCTTGTGATAAGCTGATAGCACTGGAATGCCTTTTGGTGGATTTTGGCAAGTCGGTGTGTTAGAAGTGGCTGGTGTTTTGTTTAGATAAAATCGATAAAATTGATAAAAGCGATGCAGAATGAGTTACGTTAATTTTTGGTGTTGACATAAGATAAAGCAGATGGCGATAGAATATTCCAGTGATGTAAATCCTGATGGCATTATGTTCTGTAAGAGTGTAAGTACCTGGAGTGAGCTGTGGGATGACGTGTGCTGTGTGGAGCTGATTAACGGAGCTGTGAATTACCTTCCCTGAAGGAAGCTGTGCCAAAGTGGCTTTTCCAAGCTGTCCCCAAGGCAGCACCGTGCGCCCTGCGGTGCCCTCTGTGTCCTGCCGCTGCCCGTGGGAACGCCAGCCTCGCGAAGGCTCGCTCTGCTTTTTGTGGCAAAGAAACGGAATTCACGTTCTTCAAGATTTGTGCAGACACGTGACTCTAGGACAACCTTATCTACACATACGTAGCAAAAGACATATAATTAATTCACCAAGCCAGCAACTGGAAGTAAATTAAAAATTAGGATTTTACTCGACGGGTATGCTGGGGTGAAGGAATTGGTAAATATTCCACTCTCATGCCATAGTTCCTCGCTCACAAGAGCGGAGAATATGCTGACCCCTTCAGAAGGAAACCTGGAGTATCAGTGGGTGAATGATTTAACATTTTGCAGTGCAGCAGTGAGGCCACAGTCACTTCAGGTCACTCTTAGTCTGTGGTTTCCCTGGTTCTGTATCTTCTACTGGGCAAGACTGTCAGCAGCAAAATACCCCTTGCAGAGCTCAGCAATAGTAAAAGGGTTGTAGGAGGTTATGTGCGGTTGCAGAAGACAAATTGTAAAGAAGTTGACAATGTTTTTTGCAGGACTGTGGTGGTTTGGATGTGTGGCTCTAGATGGTGGAAGCTTTTCTGATAGGAGTGTTTCTTGGGATCTCTGTAGAGTGTTTCCAGGATTTTCTTGACGGGCGTCAGCCATGATTCAGGGATGAATTTGTACTTCTTGAGCAAAACAGAGGCAAGCAGGCCAAAAAAGAAAGCACAAACTGACTCGTTCTGGCTGCGTTCAGCCAAGATCCTCCATCACGGATGTGAATTTTTGTTTCCTTAGGCTTCCATGATGTTTGCCCAGTGCCCCCGGCTGTGTGCGAGCTCCGTGCTGCTCACTGCGCTGCTCTGCTGCATCCTCTCTCCTCCAGCCCAAGCCAGCAAGGTGAGTGAAGAGGCTGCCCGGGGAGGTGGTGAAGTCACCATCCCTGGAGGTGTTCAAAAAATGTGTAGACGTGGCACTTGGGGACATGGTTTAATAGTCGTGGTTTGCTTTGACGGTTGGACTTGATGATCTTAGAGGTCTTTTCCGACCTTTGTGATTCTAAGAGCTTCAGACGCAAGCACTGAGCCATGTGTGTAGTACAGCAGAAACCAAAATGGCAGAGAAGCAGCTGTTTTTCTGTGGAGGTCTGCAAAGATAAGGAGCGCTACAGCAGCTGTGTACTTATCCGACACAGAGCTGTGACTGTGCGTGACAGTCTTCTCTACCGTGACATCTTCTGTGCAGTTTGCATTTTAAAATTTGTTGGAAAAGGACCCGGTGTCTGGAGCAGAGCTGCTCAGGACGTTTTAAAACTGTAAAGTTATTGATGTGAAAGCACAGGAAGAAGAGACACACTGTGAAGTCGCCTCTTGGAGAACGTTGGAAAAGGACCCGGTGTCTGGAGCAGAGCTACTCAGGACGTTTTAAAACTGTGAAGTGATTGATGTGAAAGCAGCACAGGAAGAAGAGAGACACTGTGAAGTCGCCTCTCAGAGAATATTTTGCCTTCTCCCACTTCGCTGGATGCAGCAGAACTGCCTCACCAACGTGTTCACTCGCTAACGCCACCTCCTCTTGCTTCTGCAGAGCTCGGAGGACATCCGCTGCAAGTGCATCTGTCCCCCGTACCGCAACATCAGCGGGCACATTTACAACAAGAATGTGTCGCAGAAGGACTGGTAAGTTGTGGGTTGAAGCCTGAGAGGTAATTCCCTGCCTGTGCATTTGCAAAGGAAGCGGTTTTGGCACTTAGTGCCATGGTCTAGCCGTTGTGGTGGTGTTGGGTCATAGGCTGGACTTGATGATCTCAGAGGTCTTTTCCAGCCTCAACAATTCTGTGATTCTGTGACGTTCTGTCCAGGCAAGGGGCGTTCTTTGAACAGAGCTGAGGAATCTGGGAGGTGTGATTTCTTACGCCATGGCTCTCAGCAGATTGTAGGGTATGGCCTCCAGTCCTTTTCACCTGGACCAGATCCCTGCAGAAGGTGCTTGGACGGTCTTCCCCAGGAAGTTTGGGGTAGCTGAGCTCTGAGGGCAACTCTTAAAACCAGATCAGCGTTACCAGCCTGATGGGAAAGCTGGGACACAGAAGAAGTCGCGCCAGCATCCTTCTGCAGAGCATCAATTTCACCTCGTCCTGTTGCTGATTTTTGGTTTCTTTCTGTTGCAGCAACTGCCTGCATGTTGTGGAGCCGATGCCGGTGCCGGGGAACGACGTGGAGGCCTACTGCCTGCTGTGTGAGTGCAAGTACGAGGAGCGCAGCACCACCACTATCAAGGTAACTGCAGGTCTGCTGCTGGGCCTGGCTCCTTCTTGCCGTGCCACAGCTAGGCTGGTGGCTTCCTGGAGAGAAGCCCAGAAAGGGAAAATAAAACTATCCCAGCCAGTACGTGGTGGTAGTGCCAAGAGCACCGTGTGTGAGTCGGGAGGCTCCTGGCAGGGAGGAGCTGGCTGTCTCGTTGAACTGGTTGTCTTGTTGAGCATGTGTGACGTTGCCAAGCACCTCGGACCAGGGACCCATCTCGTCGGTCTCCTTTCACATGTAGCACGTGTCTGAAGCTGGCACAGCGCGGAGGAGATCTGCACGGTTTATGCAGTGATGGCGCTTAACATCTCATGGGCCTTCCTGAAAGTGCAAGAGACTTTCAAGCAAGCAAAATTAGAATGAGAGAAGAGACCAGTCATCGGAGGCAGCTGTGAAGGGAGTTTCCTGGCCTCTGTGGTGCTTTTGTGTACGCTGCTGATGCCTTTCCACCATGCTGTCCTTTCCTGCAGGTGATCATCATCATTTACCTGTCCGTGGTGGGGGCTCTGCTGCTCTACATGGCTTTCCTGGTGCTGGTGGACCCTCTGATCCGGAAACCAGATGCTTATACCCAGCCCCTGCACAACGAGGAGGAGAATGAGGTGAGGCCGTGCTGCTGGGGCGTGCGGGGCGCACGTGGGTGGCTGCGGTCACAGCGCAGACAGGGTGCTCGGGTGACAAGAGTGGCTGATGGAAAATCTGACCTCGTGCTCATCTCCTCTGATTCAGTGTGGGACCTTTTGGGGCACTTTAGCACAGACAAATATTTAGATTCAAATTTGTGCAGATTATGCTGAAGCACAAGGGAATATTTAAAGTACGAATTCAGTATTACGAGCCCAAGACCAAACCTGTCCTGTGGGGCAGGCGGTGGCTTTTTACCAAGTGGCTTGAATTCAGTGTGTCCATCTAGATGAAAGCAAAAGTCAAATAGTTCCGGTTTGTGCAGTGTCCTGGGTGTAGTTACCTGGTGGTGAGCTTCCCGTGAGGGATGGGTTTAATTATTTGCCAAAACATGGGGCTTACAGCTCCTAGACGCTTTAAAGAGCCGCCTCTGAGGTGCTGTTGTTTGACCCTGGTGTGGGGCTGGGCCCTGTTGTATCCAGGCTCTTGTTCCTGTGCAGAATTTCATTCAGATCCCATCTTTTTTTTTTGAGGGAGGCATCAGCATATGACACATTGGGCAGGAAGATTAGGGCCCAGCAGCAAAAAGAGAACCCCCCTCTCTCTCTGTGTCTCACACACACACAGATTTTAGGGGACAAATTTCTTTCCGCATGAAATTCATGCAATTTCAGCATCCAGCCCTTCCCCTCAGGAGAGAGGCCGTGCTCCAGGGGCCTGATTCCAAGGGGAGAGACCCTGACTTGTGAATCTTCTTCCCCAGAGGCGTCCCTTCTCTTGGAGCGAAATAGGGGAGGCTGAGATGGGGGTGGTCTCTCCGAGAGGAAGCGTTGGAGGCAGAGCTGACGAAGGAGCGGAGTGGCTGCGCACACAGTGATTAACTCTCGTGCTTGTAGCTCGTGCTCTGTTTGAGGGGTGCAGGGGCTGTCCAGGCCTTTGAGCGTGCTGCTCTGCGACACGGCGCTCCCTGTGGGTTTCTCGGTTCAGACGTGGCCGTGGTGCTCGGCAGAGCTTTACCCTGGAGCTGAGTTCCTTCCCGTGGTGGAGCCTCAGGGCTGTCCTTGGGCTTTGTGCCCCCCGCCCCCCGCTGCTGGGAGGGGACTCCTGAGGAGACCTTCCCTAGGAATTGGTGACTCTGGAGGCTAGTGATGAGCTCAGTCGCACCTGGAGAAGAGAAGCTGCAAGGTTTGAAGATACTCTCCTTTCCTAGTCCCTGACAAAATACTGGATCACTGTCCTGTTTATACTCTGTTGTATGTATAAACTATCCGGCCAAATTCTTTCACGCACTGATTTAAGTGAGGAGCAGCTGCTCCAGCATGCACAGTCTATCCATTACCTCCCTCTTGCTGAGAAAAGGAGTCCTGCAGGAGGAGTTGTAGCC